GCTTACAACGCACGATCTCTGTGCGATTGCCACGTTGCCGCGTACAGGCCGTACCTACACGTGCGGCGTACGCACGATTTCCTTACTCACTCGCACGTTGTAAGTGCGTGCACCTCCTGTTAACTTCATCATCACTAGCCGCCCTGGTGTCTTCCGCGGCCCGTTTCTTTGGATCTTGTCTGGTAGACTTCTTCTGAGCCTTCCTGGGCATCTTGGAGACGAGTTGGCAGTCGCCCGTCAAGTCGTCTTTATATACTGTAGAAATAAGGTGCGTTGCGCGTGCGTTGCACGTGCGGAGCACCTAGTATGGTGCACGTGTGTTCTGCGTGGTCATTGAGCAGGTCAACTGGGAAGTGAGGAGTAAGCACGGATGACGCAAGCACCGTGCGTGGCACTGACGTGCTTCGTGCGCTGTCCGTACAGCAATTGCACGTGAGAATAGTGAAGTTAGACTCACGGAGTCCGTACGTTGCACGCTCATAGGCTGTACGGGGCACGCGCGTCGCACGTACTCGCACGCACGTGTGGTAAATCCGCAGACCGCACGTAGAAAAAGTATTACATGCACTTAAGGTTCTACGGCGTGTCTGCGTGCTCCCAAATCCGTAGGATTCCGTACGGAGGCGGTACTCACCACGCACGGATGCCGTACGTTTGCCCACGTTTTTGCACGTAGACAGCACGCAGAAGCACGTACGGCGAGTTGTGACCGTCGCTTAAGGGCCGTACTGTAAGTTCTAAGCGAAATGTGTGTGTAGCCATAGTTTGCTAGCTGAAAACGTGTAATTCACTTATGACAGCGTAGTTTACAACAAAAGCCTTGTGAGAGGAACAAGACTCACTCGATTTCTCGCACGCCAAAACCATGTTACTTTTTGCTGCATCCTCTAGCCTTCTTGTTTTGGACTCTTTCAATTTGATTCCAGCAGTCTTCAATAGGTCTTGAGATTTCTCGAAATGAATGTGGAAAGTGATATGAACATGAATCAGTTTGCCGAGAATGATTTTCAGCACCTGACTGTGGTAGAATATGGTAGTGACTTGTCAGGTATAAAAGCCGTGAGAACGCCCCGTGCGACAGACTGCAGGTTTGTGTGAACGGTCACGTACGTGTACGGCACAGAAACGACAGGACTGACCTGTAGCATGTCAACACACTGACATTCGTCTTTCCACCACTTCTAATATGAGAAAACCTTGGGCACATCGCCAATTCAAATATTCTGTCATATCTGCCTTTTCGGTCCATAGCAATTAAGAATATTCAGTCCGGGGACACATGTCAAGCCACAGCCCCTAGTCGTCCGTTTTTCATCAGAGTTTGTTTGGATAGCAATCCATCAGGATGTGGTGCGACAGGTGCCGCCCGACCCTATCGTGCAAGCCGCTGCACCACGGTTTCCCAAGCTTGTACCTGGTAGTATTTTACGACGCCCGACATTCCCATTCGTGTTCCCAATGTTTGTTTTAGCAGCTACGCGGTTGTTGAGTGACGTCTCGCTCGGCGCTCGCTGTGGGCTGGAGACGTGCGCCGTGGTTTCTTTGGCAGAGGGGACTTGTAAATTTAATTGTAGGGTGCTTTAAATAACAGGAAGGTTCAAGTTCACGAGCGGGACGTTTCTCACGAACAGTTTCTCAGCAGGATTGTTGGCGAGGTTTCCTTCTCGATCTCCACGCGATGTCGTGTTGAAGTTTAACGACTGGCGGTTGTGTTGTTGTGTACACACACACGTGTAGTATTTTATAAAGGCAACGTTCTTATTGTAGACGATGCTCGTATCACTAGTTTCTTCGAATCGATGTGGAACAAAATCTATGCGTTAAAGTTGTAACTATAAGCAAGCAATATCTGCTGACGCGGACGGTCCTTGTATATGGCAAACCCGGAATGCTCGAAAACTGCAGCTGTTGCTATTGATTCAACATATTTTTCAAGATTGGGTAACTTTTTGTCTGAACCTTTTACCTGGCCAGAACGAGCGGTTCTGTGTTACACGATCCAGCGGGCCGTCCGCAGCCCCGCCCGTGCCCTTGCCGGACCGGAAGGTCTTGTACAAACTCCTAGACTGGACCGGAGACACGGCCATACCGCCTGCCACTCTTCATTACTGATTCTAGCTGGAGCTTAGAAGTTCATATTGAGGTGACTGGAACATGAACTTGTCTGTGAACTTGTGAGGGTGTGTCAGACTCTCCTCTTATCTTCTTCAGTGGTTTTCAAATTTCGACAGATTTTGTATACTTAGCACAGAAAAGCCAACTTTTAAATCGAAAGCGGAAACTTTTAATCGAAACCTCTGGAAAACGAAACTAGTACTTGAATCAACATCAAACAACGTGTTGTTTTCTCGCTTACGCATTTGTGCTAGATCTAAACGGTACTCTTCCAGTTTCTTAGTAATTCAGAATCGTATCTACTAGCCAATTGCGACCTTTGAACGTAAAAATACTAGAGAGTGCGAAACTTGACGGACATTTTTCTTCGGTTGACAGAGAGCCAACCTTTGACCTTCTGCAAGGTCCTATATTTCTGTCGGAGTAACGGGGAGAGGAAGCAGCACCTGCCTCCCTCCCATCTGACAGAGTCAGGAAAAACCTGCCACCTGAAACTGCCGCTCCGCTCCGACGCTTCACACGTCTGTGGGTCTACTGCAGCCCGTCCCGCCCGGGACTCTCTCTCGGTAGGGAGTTAAGTTGTGGGATATAGGGGTTTTCTTTTACACAACCAATGTTGTCTCTTACCTTGCTCTGAGGAAGGTGTCTGATAAACACCGAAACGTAAGCAAGGTAAGAGACAATATTGGTTGTGTCACAGTTGTACCAACCTGATGAAACTATTTTCGAGAGTTACGTTGTGTTTTCATTCGTTTATATTCTCACTCTTTCGATTGTACTCAGTGATTTGTAATCCTTCGTGCTTCGTACATTAAACGCGATTCAGCACCGAGACATGCATGTTTACGGTATGGTGGAAAAGAAGAAACACTGAGAAGTTTGAATTACTAACCACTCCAACCCGTACTATTAGGTCGACACTGGTTTATTGTTGTACAATGATAACCGCCGAGAAGATTATTTTTGTGCCCTCTTAGAACATATTTTGTACGTCCGTCAGTTGTTCTGTAGGTTACAGAGGTTAGTAAAAAAGTTTACCTCATTAAACAACAACGTGGGTACAGCGTACGTACTAAAACGGACAGTTGTCGGCATCGTTTCTTTTAAACATTAGATAAAAGTTGTCTCTTTTACGTGTGCAGGAAATATTGGTACAGTTAAAGAAGTGACGGTCTTCATACAAATCCAAGGTCGCATAGATATGTCTGTTTCTGTGGGGTAGAACTTGGTTTCATACAATAATAGGAGGGTCATCTTTTATCCCTGGATTTAACATAAAAGTTTAGATAGAACTTTTGCCAGTTAACGAAACATTCCTACTTCTTGACATCTGCTATTTCAGATCGTGAATCTTGTGGACAGTCGAACCCCGTGACGCAAACCTGCTCGCCTGGCGTGCGGACTCGCTGGACCTCCGGCCTATCTGTAACATGTCGTGTTCTCTGTGGGCCCCGGACGTCAGTCAGAAGTACAGCGCGTCGGATGTGCTCATGGAGTACTCCTGCCGGTACGCCACCAGCCTTGAGGACTTCATCGGGAACTACTTCAGGGAGGACGTCAGGTCGGGGCGGGGCGGGCAGACCACCGCCGCGGCACGGTACGCGGGAACGTACGGACCGTCCGCCAGCGGCGCCAGGTGGGAGAAAAGGAGGCTCGCTGTCCCGTCAGGTGACGAGGCGTTTCTATACTTAATAGTATACTTTGGGGCGTGCTCGGATTATGGCATACTAAAACAGGGGGAAAGTGCAACAGTTGTTCTTTTTATGTCTAGACACCATGACCTTGGTGTTCAGTGTTGTTGTTGTTGTTGTTGGCAGCAGCATTTTTATCTAAGAGAATGAGCGTCAATGCCCAGTTCTAAATGTTTTCGGCCATCAATAGAAATTCAACATGTCTTGGGTCTCCAATATATTGCGATTCCATAGCTATAGATAACTCATATTATACTGTGTCACAATGCAAAAGTACGTCCCTCTAGAAGGACCGGTCACAATCTTCGATTGAAGTCAATGTAGAGCATGTTTTCATAATGTGAAGAATATGTTTTTGAGTGGAGATTTTTGGCAAGATTCTCGAAAAGTCTCGACAAAGATGGAGATTTGTTTGTCACCGACTGATGGTTGTAGCTTTCAAATGGTTACATCAGTACTTCATTAGAAAAGAAACACACGGGTACCGGGATCGATCAGAAATGTTTCCCCCACCCCAGACCCGATGATGTGGAGCCCCGAACACGTGCGTCAGTGGCTCCACTGGGCCATCAAGGAGTACAACCTGCAGGGCGTGGAGCCGGCACGGTTCGACATGGACGGGAAGGAGCTGTGCAGGCTGCAGAGGGACGACTTCGTCAGGCTCACCAACGTGCATAACGGAGACGTGCTCTTCGCACACCTGCTCTTCCTCAGGCCAGGTCAGTACTAAAGTGTGGCATAGATTTTTGTGACTTCTACTTTGGTGGACTATTACACATTTTCATCCAAGTTCATCTTCTTGGTTTTGACTTTGGTCACACATGATGATTCTTAAGTATAACAGTCGTGCGCGCCCTGCCTGCCTCCACAGCTATGCACCAACCCGTACAGTTGGACGGCTTTGCGTACACACCGCCATCTCCGAGACCCTCTCCTAATGGTGAGTTGGGTTGAAGTTTTATGGTCTTCAATCATACAATTTAGTGTTTTTTAATGTTTATTTCTTATGGCACCATGCCCAGGTGTTAGTTAGTTAGTTAGAGTGGCTATGCCCAGGTGTTTAGTTAGAGTGGCGCTATGCCCAGGTGTTTAGTTAGAGTGGCGCTATGCCCAGGTGTTTAGTTAGAGTGGCTATGCCCAGGTGTTTAGTTAGAGTGGCGCTATGCCCAGGTGTTAGTTACAGTGGCCCTATGCCCAGGTATTAGTTAGAGCCCCCGTTACTGTATTTCACATGGTTTTCGCTAGGTGGTACTTTGGAAGTTTGTGCTGCTTGACATACACCTGCGGCACCATGGGTCACCTAGACTTTCAGGTACAGACGATGTATTCTTTATCATGAGGTTGTGCATATGCCTATATATGAAGTTCAAACATCACATATAGAACGTTAACGCATGTTAAGCTATAACGTTAAGTTCAATCGTCTAACGAATTCGTCCGGCCGCACTGGCAGGTTAGGTTGTACTAGTAGTTAAGTCACTGGTAAGTTTCTTCCACACCTAGATAGATGATTCCACAGAAACTGATGTTGCAGCGAGGCCATGCCCTTAGACTCGTCGGATATCGTATGAGAAACGTCATTTAATAAAAAGCAGCAACAACCTAATGTGTCCTTCCACGCCGTGACTCTCACCATGAACAGTTCATAGCCACAGGAGCCATCTGGACGGCAAGCCCCGCCTACTTAAACAGGGATTGTATGAAAATACCAGTCCTAAGACTCCCTGTCCCCCCGTATCTATACCTCCCAGTCCCTGTTCTACAGAAGAATTATGGTGTTCACTAATTGTGTACCAGCTATCAGCCAGCGCGATGAAAGGATTCTTGCGAAAAATCACTTTCGCGTAATTGAATAAGGTAAAGAACAAGCCATGGCTAAAGACAATATGCGCCGAGATTAAATCATCTGAAGCGTAATAAGGCAGTCTGAAAGCTTATCCACTGAAGTTTATTAAAGACTTGAGTTCCTTAATTTCCAGTACCATTATCCAATACCCCGAGGGGGGACATTAGATGTTCTCCATTGGAACTGGAGTTACACATGGGAAATCAGTGCGATACCGTCTACTCTGCCCAGAGGGATAGTCGTACTTTTTCAAGGGTCCACTTTTCTAAGTTGTTATTGCTTCATTTCGATGAACATTAGCAAATTGAGTGAATCTTTTATGGCAGGTTCACAGTTATAGTCTAACGCCCAAATGTCTAATATGCCGATACACCCAGGAGACACACCGTATAGTTTCAGTAACATGTTGTGAATGAAAGAAAGAAAAAGCAAAGAACGAAAGAAATTGAGAAAAGAAAACAAAGGGTAGAGAGAAACGGGAAAAAGACAGGAAGAAACAAAGAGAAATGGAGGAAAGGAAAGAAAGACAGACAACTGGAAAGAAAAGTTAAAAAGGGAATAACCGATGAGAACAAAAAGAGAGAAAGGGCCAAACAGGTCAAAAGGCAGATTTCCGGCTACTTGTGAACGCCCACACCACACCCTTTTCCGACAGTACGTTTAGTCAACATTATTACATGAGCCTAACCACACCTGATTATCACCAATCACTCTTAATAAAGAAGGCTTTGCGTTATGGAAAAACTTCCTTCTATCCTCCCGCCTTCAGGTCAAACGCTTTATCAACAGCTGAAGACATCTTGAGTGAGTCCTTATTCCAGCAGGACAATTCTCTGGACTCCAGTTCAAGATCCTGTGAAGAGGAACAGTCCGCCACACGCCATCCATCAGTCTACCAATAAGCGCTTTCCAGCCATCATTGTTCCTTATCTCTCATGACAGTGGTTCTGGCAGCAGATACTGGGGAATTTACAAACGGAATTAATAAAGAACTTTTGAAAGTAAACTTGGAAGGCGACTATGACGTATCGCCGCCCTTCTCTGAGTGGTTCACGTCGCGTCATTGTGAGATGGCGAGGGTTGGGTGACAAGGCTTCCCTGTCAGGGAAAAAGACGGACAGTTACTGTTTTTATTTTCTAACTGATAATTCACGGTTTGGTATTATTACGTGACATTTCTTTACGTTTATCACATAAGCCACAATAACTCTTGGTCCATATCTGTCTTGATACTCGTAAGTGACTTCGACACGACATCATTGCCCAGTCGTGGTCATCATGATGACCAATGATGATTATGGATGAATGGTTTGGTCCATACATCCTGCTGAAGACTTACGCCTGCTGTGAATGTAGTAGTACATGTGTGATTTATCCATGAACGGACACCGCAGCTGACTTCCAAGTCTGTTCTGTGGGACCGTACCTTTTGTCAGCCTGCTTGTCGGAAATCAGAACCCGACACAACGGTCACACAGGAGTCAAACTCATAACTACGTGGTCAACCATTAGACAGATGTATACTGTAATCATTGTTCGTTTGTAGTATCTTCTACGTTTGTCTTGATAGAAACTTAAGCTTGTGAAAACATCTCTGTACATAACATTGCACTAGTTAGTCAAATACCCTTTTTCCATAGAATTTTTCTGTAGAATATAGAAAGAATAAATTTACCACATTGAGATGCTGACAAGGGAACGTTCATTATGTTCTAAAGGATAGTTTGTTCACTACAGTGGACCGTCAAATTGTGTCGGAGAAATGCATTCCGTCCGTCCAAACTCAGACGTTTTCGGCTTCCTAGTCGTTTGAAACCTTGATCACGGAGATTGTGTATTTCTTCACGACTGTCGTACTTGCGATGTGAAATTTGAGTATTCAATACCCCAGCCTCACCTTAACAGAGAACAATCCCTTATCACGGGGGCCCAAATTTCCAGGAAGGAACAAACGAGCCCGAGGGTAACGAGCGTGATGATTCAGTCCCAGCTCCAGAGAAATTACCAACCCTCACGTGGCGTCCTGCAATTGCCCGATAATTTCCTAGCGTCAAAATAGCTGCCAGTAAAAACGATGTCAGCAGATGCCTATCTCTGTTTCTGGCGCTCGCTGACTGTTTTTGTGGGTGTTGGGTGTTGGGAAAGACATTCTGACTCATTCGAGAAAACAAAGCATGTATACAGACTATGTTCACGCGTTTTGGCTTACCGTAATAACGTTCTGTTCACTACGAAGAGTTCAGTCCTTGTTACGTCACCGCGGCCTAGGAGCGCCAGGAAAGATGTTCATTTTTCACAGAAATAACTAGCTGACGGGACATACTGGAGGAAATAAACCATTGAGTGCGTGAGAAGTGGTTTTCACGTCCAATCACTTTAAAGCAATTATGCGGTAATGGCGTATGTGTTGCCAAATTGCTCGCTAATAGCGAGGAATATTTCAGGGAGAAAAGCAACGTGAGCATCTCTGGCGACGTCCCAAGGGGGCTCTTGTCTCTTACGTTTTCACGGTGGGCCGGTGCCGTGGTTCCGTCCAAACGTCTAGTCTGTACATTACTAGCGATCCGGACTGGCAAATTTCTATGACGAATATTAAATATTGAAAGTGAGATGGTAAAGGAGAGAGAGGGATGGAGGGTGGGAGGGAAGGAGTGAGAGAGAGAGAGAGGGAGAGAGAGAGAGAGAGAGAAAGAACAGAGAGAATAGAGAGAGCAGAGAGAACAGAGAGAGAGCAGAGAACGAGGAAGACAGATCTGCCTACGCGCGACATAGACTGAGAACACGTATCGTTTTCAGTCCAAAGACACACCGTTTCATGCAACCTCAGCGCTATTCGCCCTCTACAGGCAGATCAATACACAGACAGGCTAATATTGCAATGCACAATCAATGCAGTATATATGTATCATGCAGTGCTACGTCGCTACTACACACAATAAACATCGCCTAGTGTGCTATACTACTGGGGACTTTACACTCTGGAACCTTCCTTGGAGTCCGAGCACAAGCCAGCTACTTAGCAACAGTTGACCTGAGTTGGTGCGAACTGACAGAGCGTCCTGGCAGGTCTTGGAGAACAGTAAACACTATCCTGTAAGGGTGGCCTGTGTCCATTCTGAGACCGTGGTCAGTTTTCGTTTGGACCAGCGAATATGTGATTAACGAATGAGAATGCACAGAAAAAAATCACGAGCACTTGTACGGGCCCACGCAGGTCAGATCTAGGTTGGATCATTGGTATAGACCACTGTCCCGTCCTACCCAACCCGTGGTCATAGTACAACTCAGGTGACCCTGCATGACCCTTAACTAGCACCTAGCCATACGACATTTCCTAAAGGCTTTCCTTAACAAAGGACGAAGTGGGAGCCCTGCTGGCCGGGTCAGAAAGGTTCTTCACCCGCCTGACATTACCTGTCCACTCCTGACCTCTCCCTGACCTGCCCGACAGACAGGACTTCCGGTCGTGCCCGGGAAAAGACCTACATTTGGAGCAGTGATGAGGGGTTAACTCGCGGGGGGTGGGTCGCCATGATGGGTCACCTGGTCAGGAGATGGTCATCACCATGTCACATACATGTACTCGTGCATCAGGCAGAGTATACATACAGTACTCTTACTGACAAAACGCACCAACTCAATCATGTGTTTTATGTACTATCATACTTGAACAAGTTGAAGCAGAGTGAACGTGAACGTAACCATCATTTCAGAATATGTTAGAAATGTGTGTTTATGACAATGTCTGTTGTTACTGCTGTTAGCATGGTGGAGCAATACTTGCTGCATGGATGATATGACAATTTAACGCTGCCAAGTCCTGTTCAGGACAGAAGTTTGGTGCAAGAGTAGCCAAGGTTCTAACTCTCCCCCTGCAGAGCCGATATTGATTGTAGCAAACTTCAGCTCACACATTACACGCGTTAATACCCACACTCGCCTGGTCCGTCCATCATTTCATACACAATTTACAAGTTTGGATAGTTTTGATAAGCCGTTGACGGCGCAATCTGCCGGGATCTTCTGCGCGTTCACACCGCATAACTCTCCTCCGACTGCCGTGTCTGGCTAATCTGTTTACCGTGCCATTGACA